CAGGGGGGTGAGGAAAGATATCCATGCAATAAGAACAGGCTCCTAAGAAATAAGAACAATATAACTGACAGTTCATAATTATAGTACATCAGAGTTTAACCTCATTTAGAAAGAGGGTCACTGCAGATGTAATTAAGATGAATCATGCTGGAGTAGGATGGGCCCTTAATCCAATATGTCTGGAGTCCTTACAAGAAAAGCAGAGAGACACATGGGGAAAAGATGACCATGTGGTGACAGAGGAAGAGATAAGAATGATGCATCTTTGAGCCAAGGAGTGCCAATAAACAGCAGAAGCTAGAAGAAGCAAAGAACAAAATAAGGGAAAGAAGGTAGTTGGGGATGGGATTGGATATCATTAAAGACACAGTAAAGATCAATGGAGCAGATAAATGAGAGAGAGAGGAAGGAAGGGGAAGGGAAAGAAATATGGAATGAATTTAGCAAATTCATGGTATATTCATATGTAAAGGTACAAAAAGGAATTTCACCTTTATGTATACGTAGAAGAAAGGAAATTCAGTAAAATAGAAGAGGGAGAATAGGGGGATGGAGGAGGGAATAAAAGCAGGGGTAGGGAATGGAGATTGAAATAAATTCCTTGCAAGTATGATTTCATATAAAACCTTAAAGGTTTATAGGGAGCATGGCCCTGCAGACACCTCATTAGATTTCTAGTTTCCAGAATCATGAGGCAATAAATTTCTGTTGTTTTAAGCCAGTACCTGTTGTAGTACTTTGTAACGACAGTCCTAAGAAACAAATATAGTATTTATCTGTGGTCTTTACAACATAATCACTGGTTTTATTACTTAAAAAAATGACCTTTAAAAGACTAGTTTCAGTGGCATACAGAACTTTCTAATTGTGAGGTACACCTCTAGAAAGAGCAACTTAAAACTGTGTTGAATTTCTTTGCCTTCTTTTAAAGCATTCAAAACCAGGATGAGGGTGGTATCAAAGTACTTCTTTCTTAAACAATGCTTTCTGGATAAGAATAATTGGTTCTTATAATATGAGAGGTAAGGACTCAAATATTGGTGGATTTTTTCTTTTCCAAAGGTTCATTTTGGAGGGGGATGAAATCACAATATATTTGACCTCTGCACTACAAATAAAAGTAGAGTCTTCTATTGGAAGAGGGTCTTGGTTCCTCATCCCTCACAGCAGCTCCTGCAAGCCAGTTTAAACACAACTGTTCTGCAGGGATTTTATCAAGGGAGTCAATACACAGATAAAATATATGACATAAAAACCATAAGCAGCAAAGGACTTATAAAGAAGATATTCCTCAAATGACCATTTTATTTTAAGCTCAGATAGAAGTCAAGGGTAAAACATGAAAATATAACTCAGCAAAGACATTTCTGTGGAATGCTAATCTAATGAGGTCTGTGTGCAGAGGTGATCTAACTGCTGTGCCAAGTCCCAAGTCTCACTATAGAAATTGCAGGCCTCTCAGACTGTCTTTTTTGAATATCACTTCTCTTGGATGGGCATTTGCTAAACATTGGATGGCAACACTTTCCAGTAAAATTCTTTTGTGAGAACTTAAATTCACATATTCTATGCTATTCATTGGAGGATATACTAATGCTTGAGTACCATACATTTATGTGGCAAGATCCACATTCCGTTGAAAGTCCTAAAACTCAATGAGTACTCTTATGTACTTGGAGGACTTTCCCATCTTTGATTTTATGATTATGAAAGAAACAAATATATTTTTTTCTTTAAGTGTTTTAGCTGGGTGAGGTGGCATGTATGTATAGTCCCAGTTACTCTGGAGGTTGAGGTGAGAGGATCACTTAAGCTCAGGAGTTCAAGGCCAACCTGGACAAAGTAATGGGACCTCATCTCAAAGAAAGGAAAAAAAAATGTTTTCCTATATTACTCATATAATATGTATTCACTGAAGATACATTAGAAGACACAGAAAAACATGAAGGAGAAAATTTTAAAAACTCACAATCTTTAGGCATTAAGCACAGTTAACATTTTGTATATTCTTCCAGACCTATTTCTATATACATTCTTTTAAAAAAATGTTCTATGATTCACATATTCAGCATTTGCTTTTTTTCTGGTACCAATATATTGTACACAGTTTTTCTTTGGCATCTCATAGATCAATTAAGATGTCCATTATTGATGGACATCTAGATCTGTTTTATTCTTTTGGTATTATGAACATGTCATTAACTATCCAAAATACTTGGTACATTTTAATTATTGCTTTAAGAAAAAACTCTGTAGCCAGACTGATGGGTTAAATATACACATTTTGTGATTTTTGAAAAGTATTTCCAAATTATCTTTGAAGTATATTTATATGTGTGTTTCCAACAGCAGTATATGAAATGGCACACTCTATCATTAGTATTGCCCCCTGACTACCAGTTCAAAAGGTAAAATTTGGTGTCTTCTTGCTGTTTAATTTTGTGTGTGCTTGGGAACAACCCAGGGCCTCCTGCATGCTAAGCACAAGCTTTACCATTGAAGCTAAGCCCCTGGCCCCAAATTTCATTTCTTCAATCATTAATGAAGATGAACCTCTCCTCCCCACCACCCCCAACACATCCAGCACAATTTTCTTACTAGCATGCCTCAAAAACCTTAACTGCCTGGACTTTCTGGATTTTGTTTACTATCTTGCTGTTTTCTGAATTATCAAAGTATTCCCAGATATGTAGTATTCTCCTTCAGGTATTTTCCAGGACATCAAGGAGATCTCTTGTTACCAATTAAAAAAACCTCTGTGGAACACCATTTTTTTTTCTTTGTAGTATGCATGTGCACCAGTGTGCATCTGTGAGTGTGTGTGTGTGTGTGTGTGTGTGTGTGTGTGTGTGTTGAGGTGGTTCTGCAGGCCAGGACAGAGGCCTCAGGTGTGGCTGTGGGGTGATAAAACAGTTATCACTTGCCTCCATGTGCTCATTGATGCCCCACATGGTAGCTCAGATTCCAGAACCGGCTTCTTGAAAGATCAAGCTTAGCGAGGGAGTAAGCTGTTTGCACGTAGGTAGTAGAAAATAAGAGGCCCTGGGGTGTATTTTCCTTTTTTATTGAAATATTATAATTATACATAGTATTTGGGTTCATTTTGATGAGATCATACATGCAAGCAATTTATTTCAATCCCCAATCCCTACCCCTGCTTTCCTTCCCTCCTCCTCCCCCATCTCCCTCTTCTATTCTACTAAATTTCTTTCTTCTACATATATAAAGGTGAAATTGCTTTTGGTACCTTTACATATGAATATACCATGATTTTGCTAAATTCATTCCATATTTCTTTCCCTTCCTCTTCCTTCCTCTCTCTCTTATTTATCTGCTCCATTGATCTATCCTGTGTCTTTATGATATCCAATCCCATCCCCAACTACCTTCTTTCCCCTTTTTGCTCTAGCTTCCACATATGAGAGAAAACATTCAATCCTTGGTTTTCTGTGTCTGGCTTATTTCACTTAGCATGATTTTCTTTATTTCCATCCATTTACAGGCAAATGCCATCATTTCATTCTTCCTTATGGCTTGAGTAACACTCCATATGTACCACATTTTCTTAATTTCTTACAACGAGATGCCCATCAATGGTCACCTATTGATGGGCATCTGGTTGTATCTGTAATTTGGCTATTATGGATTGTGCTCCTATAAACATTGAAGTAGCTATATCACTGTAGTATGCTGATTTTAGATCTTTTGGAAAAGTACTAAGGAGTAAGATAGCTGGGTCATATGTGGTTCCATTCCTAGTTTTTTTTTTTTTTTTTTCAGGAATCTCCACATTGCTTTCCAGAGCAGTTGTACTAACTGACAGTCCCACCAACAGTGTAAGAGTGTGTGCCTTTCCTCTCACATCCTTGCCAGCCTTTATTATTATTCATGCTCTTAATAATTGCCATTCTGACTGAAGTGACTTAGTTTTGATTTGCATTTCCCTAATTGCTAGAGATGTTGAATAATTTTTCATATATTTCTTGGCCATTTGGAACACCCTCCTTTCATCCAATTAAAGAATGTCCAAGGCCAATGGTTCATGCTTTCTGCAACTTGACTATTTTGTTTTGTTTGAGATGGAGTCTCCCTATGTTGACTAGGCTAGTTTCAAACTCTTGAATTCAAGCAGTTCCTCTGCCTCAGCTTCTGCAGAAGCTAGAACCACAGGGGAGGCCACCATTGACTTCAGTGTGGCTCTTAAACCTCCTCATTGAGGGAAAGAGCTGGTGAAGCTGGAGACTCTATTGAGCCAGCAACCCTTATAGAAGCAAGAGAATGTTCACCCCAGCCAGGCTTTGCTGATGAAAATGTTTTTCTTTTTTTCTTTTTTATGCATTTTGGTGAAAATGTTTTCATGAACTGTGAACTGTTTCTGTCTATTCTCCATTTGACTGGCTTGTGACCTTGCATTCTCTCTAAAAGAGGCAGTTGAGATGGAAACAGACGTGTTTGTGTTAGGACTCCCAGGGCAGATTACAGAGGGGTTTTGTGCTAGTGACAGCAAGAGTAACTTCTGTAAATTAGCAGTGAAGAATGAGCTCTAGAGGCCTGATTCTATCTCCAGAGCCCACTCGACTAATTTGTGCCTCAGTTTCCTCATCTATAATTTGTACAACTTTACAGAACAGGCATGACGATTCAGTCACTTGCTGAAAAGTTCTTAGAGATTGGCTTGGGGATGTGACTTGATGGTAGAGTGTCTAGCAATCAAGGGGCCACAGGTTCAATCCCCAGCACCTCATTGAAAGAAAGAAAAAAAAGAAGGTAAGTGCTAAATGAGCCAATGGAGTAGAAAAGTAAAAGAGCCAAGGGAGGATGATTAGTGCATATTAGTGCAATTGTGCATAATTGTCCAGACACATCTAATTTAGAAGTTGAGGGGAATCCCGGGTAGAATAGAGAAGTGAGCAAAAACTGGTTGGAGGGAAAGGACCAAACTGATCTATCTTGTTTTTCCTCCCTGCAGCCAGCATTTTTTTTTTTTCTTTCTAATTTTCCCACACAGCCTCCCACCCTCTTCTGCACTGAGTTCCTCGAGGCGGCGCCCGCACGTGGAGGTGAAGCAAGGGGCCCAGCGAGGACCGGCGGAGGAGCCACGGTCTGGAGCTCAGCGAGCGCATTGTGCGGACAAACTGAATGGAGCTGGGATGTGTGCGCGCTGGCTTGCACGGATTAGCCGTGCTTTCCCATGAACTACAAAAGAATGCCCGAATCTGGGACGTTTGTCATCAAGGGGCAGGCTGCTCAGGATGCAAGGTAACCAGAGCTTTTCCCGGACTGCTTCAGTCTTTTGGGACGTGGGTCACTCTAATCCTTCCTGTTTATATTGTGAATGCGTAGGCAGCAAGGCTTAAGCTCTGCAACGGTAAATAAGAATCGCGATGCAGGCATTCCTAAACAGCTACGTCCTCTGGTTGCTCTTTCTTTCTTTTTCTTTCTTTCTTTCTTTCCTTTTTTTTTTTTTTTTTTTTTTTTGAAGGGGCACTGTTGCCTCCCATTTATTCAGTCCTTCACAGCAGAGGGACTGAGGGGTTGCTGCGGAAGCGCGCGCCCAAAGCTGCCTTTCTGCCCACCAAAACTCGATTTAGCCCTTGGATCGTGCTCTTGTTTACACATTTATTTCCCCGTTTTATTTCTTCATTCTTCATGCAACCACTTTGCCCTCCTGTTATTGCGAGGATCTCAAGATTGATTGTGCATAATTGTCCAGACACATCTAATGAAACAGTTAATTCTCAGAAAAAACAACAAGTTTCTTATGGTGTTTGTGGAAGCTAGGAGATAAATTGATTGGTAGTGCCCTGTTAAAGTGTAATTGGAATTCTCCCCCAAGCTACACATTTCTCTTTCATTCGAATTTGAAATCTTTCAGAACCTGGAATTTCAAGTCTATGATTTTGTGCAATTAAATGTTTGTGGGTGGTGAAGTCTAATTTCACAACCCCACTTTTAATCAAAGGAAAAAAAATCCTAGAGTTAAGCATGAAATCTGAGCTCATAGAAAGGCCATTCCTGTGGGGCTGTGAAGAAATGACCTGCTCCTGGAGATGAGTGCCCACCTTTCAGGAGGAGCACAGGAGGTTCTCCAAGACCTACCAGGACCAAAGGGCCAGGCCCTATGTTAACCTTTATATCTTTTAAAAAAAAAAAAATTACTGAACATTTTTCCCCTGATTCAGTTCATTTATTGATTCATTCCATGACTATGTACAAATGATTAAAAGAATCTGAGTGTTGCACTAGGAGTAAAATATAGTGGACATTCGGCTTTGCAGAGGTTCTGAAGGGGGATGGGAGAGGGAGAAACTGGAAAGCACTTGGTTACTGTGTGCTAAGTGCTAAGGTGCAGGTTAGGAGAACAGAGTGGAGCTGAAAGGATAAGGTAAGACTTTCAGAGAAAGTGGCATCTGGAAAGGGTGTTAGTAAGAGTTCCCAATTAGTCCATGCTTTGGGATGACTTAGAGAGGGCCCTGACCAAAACTCAGATTCCCTCCCTCTGCATTCTCACCTACTGAGTTAGAATCTCTGAGGGCAGAGAAACTTTATTTATTTATTTATTTTTATTACTACCCCCACACCTCCCCTTCCCTGGAGATGGAACTCAGAGCTTCATGCATGCTGCCACTGAACTACTCTACCCAGGGCAGATCCTGCATTTAAAAGCACTTAGGAGATTCCATGAAACTCATCTGAGTCTTTGGTCTCATTCAAAGCATGAATAAAGGTGGTGGTTGGAGGGAAATTATTTGGGGCTAATGGAACAGACATCTGCAAATAAAACAGAGGTGACTCAGACTTTATTTAGCTAATGGTGAGTAGCTAAATCATTTGTCCCAAACGCATATAGTTGGTATTTCTGTAACACCTATGTAGAAAATCTTTACTTCTAGAGTTTCTTTGTTCCGTAGCTTAACATTTTTCATTACTGTATTAGAAATCAATGAAAAAAATCATGGTACATGATTTAGGGACTCTCTCCAATAATACATACTCAATTGAGCATGTGCACACATACAAACATACACACACACACTCTGCTGGAATATATCTAGTTAATACAATGAGAGTTATCTGGTTTTTTTTAGGAATTGTGAAACATCTCCTACAATGTCTTGGATAAAAGACATTGTATCCAATTAATTCTTACTTTAAGAATCTAGAATAATATGTGAATATTTATTTTATAAGCAAATGATTACTTTGTAGGTATATTATAAAATATGTAGCCCTGAGACTTTTTGTGTGATCATCAATAACAGCAAAAGTTTCTAATTTGTGGGAAGAAGTTAATGTGCAGGTCTGAATTATAAGCATTGCCTCTTTCTATTTTAAGCCTAGACAATGGTACAGAGTGTTAAAGCATTAGAATAGAGATATTTCTTAATTTTCTAACTAACTAACTTAATTTTTGTTGTTGTCTCATAAGTAAGACTTCAAGTCCTCTGACAAATACTACTTCAATACATGTTACCTGTGGTTGTTATTCTCTTCTTTATCTTTAACTTATTGCTGAATGTTTTAAAGAAGTCACTTTATTTTTTTCTGTCTGCATTTACCTTTGACTCCACACTTATATGTGAAGATTTCCTTAAATCTGCTGCACTTGGGTGTACCTCAGTGGAAGATCATGTGCTTAGTGTGCAAGAGGCCTTGAGTTTGATCCCCAGCACTTAAAAAAAAAAAAAAAAAAAAAGATTTCCTTAAATCTAACCTTCCCCTTAAATTTTTTTCTAATTAAGTTAAAGGAACTTCAACTCCTGTTCAGCTCTTGGGTTATATACCCTTCTTCAGTAAAGTTTTTTCTTATCCCTGAACCAGCTAGGCTGTCTCAGATTCTGACCCCTATTAATACTTGCAATTCATCTCTTGAATTATCCACCAAAATAATATTTATTTGTTTAATGCCTGTTTTGTTCCACTCCCTTAAACTTCTGAGGACAGGATTTTATCAAGTTCAACAATCCCCCAGCAGCTAGCACATAGTAATTGTTCAATGATATTTGTCAAATTAATGAACAAAATGGATATTCATAAATCAAAAATACATTTTTTCACAGACCAATATCTTTTGTCATTAAAAATTCTGGCCAGGCACGGTGGTGTACACATGTAATCCCAGTAGCTTGGGAGGCTAAGGCAGGAGGATCGTGAGTTCAAAGCCAACCTCAGCAAAAAGCGAGGTACTAAGCAACTCAGTGAGACCCTGTCTCTAAATAGAATGCAAAATAGGGCTGGAGATGTGACTCAATATTCAAGTGCCCCTGAGTTCAATCCCTAGTACCGCCCCTGCCCCCCACCAAAAATAAAGAAATAAGAAAAAAAATTTTCTGAATTTCTTAGGACTGGGGGTATAGCTCAAAGGCAGAGTATGAGTGAGGCCCTGGGTTCAATTCCATATATATATATATAGATATATCTATATATATATATATATGATATATGTACACACACACACACATATATATATACACACACACATTACATATGTGTATTCACACACATATAAATATACATTGTATATGTTTGTGTGTGTGTATACATACACAATTTCTTCACGTGGTTTCACAGAAAATGATTCAATTATCTTCTTGTTTTTAGATCATCTCCTTCCATGAAGTCTGGAGACATGCTTTTAAACCAGAGGGTTGAGTAGGGAGAACTTAGCAGCCATTTGTTCTCAGTGATTAATAAGCAGGGGTATATCTATGCTTTTAAACTCCTTTATGTCAGAGGATGTTGTTCTAGTATATCTCTACACAGTGTTATTTCAACTCTTGTCTATTGAGTGTATATTAAGTGCTCAGCCTTGTGCCAGGCAAAAATGTACCATTAGATTTAATCTCTGCTGTCAAGAAACTTATGATCTATTTAAGGAACTAATACATAGACTCTGAACTTAACATCAACACAGATACACCCTCCTGGTGGCACTTAGCATTATATTGTGGCCATAACTCTTCTTTCACAGTGTGAAATATGCAACAAACAGTGGAGGGTTAAGTAGTAAAGATAATGGTACAGACAATACATTTAGGAAGACTTCAAAGAAAAGGTAAAAATTCGGATGTGAAAAGTAGACAGAAAAGACATTTTTAAGGTTGTGGGACTTAGCCTTTGAAGAATAGATAAGACCAGGTTATGCTGTAAGATAGGAACAGCTTAAGAAGTGCAGAATAAGAAATGACAGCATGTGGCTAGACATTCTTGAAGTCACCCATTTGCCCAGTTGGAGAATCCAGGGAGAGCAAAGTGAAGTTGTTGTTTTCAGGAACTTTGCTTCCAAAAGACTCAAAGGAAGAAAGCAAACAAGACCTGTTCAAAACACCTGGCCTCAGAATTATGGTTATAGAGCAGATAATGCAAATATCAAAAATGTGACAAAACAAAATAATACCACCAGCAAGAATTTGAGAATAGGAATAGGAGAAAGCTAATTACTTCATTCATCAATCTTTACTAAAATTAAACTTGTATTTAAAAAATAAAAACTATCTAATTTCTTACACATTTAAACTTTCTCTTTTTTTAAAAAGAATCTATCTGTGGTCAAGAAATATTGGTTTAAAATTTGACAATACTTTCACTTCAAATTATGTTTCCTGATTAAATCAATTAAAATTAAATTTAAGACTTTTAATGATTCAGAGCAAAAGTATCACATCATTCTTATTAACTAATTTCTCTCTAGTGCTCCATTTCTGTACCTTTCATATGCATGTGTTGTCTTCAATGGTGCTGATCAAGTGTTAGCATCAGTTAATACTGGGCAGGGGGATTTGTAGTGATTTGTTGCTGTTTTCCTTCTTACCTTTTGAAATTACTCATTTAAAAAATATGATAAATCATTTTGATAAAAACACTGAAGTAATTACTTAAATTAATATCTGACTAAAACAAAACAGAAACATGGGGAGAAGAGCTATCCAAAAGAAACCAAAGCAACTCACTTTTCTTATGGTCAGTTTGCTAGTAGACACTCCAAGCCTACTTCTTCTTGCCTCATAGCTATTTATAGCTCTACACTACATATTTTATTCACCCATAAAATTTATGGAGCTCTGACAGTGTTTTAGCCTGGAGATAATATTTTTGGTGGTGTAGTGACACAATTGTTTATTATTTGCTGGTATTATTATACTTACGGAAAACATCCTCCTGGGGTGAATCTGGATTGGTCCAAGACATTTCTGCTTATCTCATTTTCTTTGCCAGTGATTGGTTCAGCATGGACATATGATACAATTCTGGCCAATTGG